ATTTTGTAGTGAGTGAACAAATTGTAAATCATAAGGGCTTTATCATAAAAGTGTAACACCTTATTTGCTCAAACGCATAAATGTACAATAAATCAGAGATTTTTCACAACTTTTCACATAGGATGCTACACTTTTGCAAAACATGCACACCTGCTTATCATGTAACACATAATTTAAATAAACATTTCCACACAATATTTTAAGGCACACAATTTCATTTAGGATGTTTACATGACATCCAACTTATCTAATTTATACTCGGGATGTTTACACGACATCTAATTCATCTGATAGCATAATAGCATAATCATAATTAAGACATACAACAATTTAAGTCTCATAGTAAAACTTCATATTAACATAAAAAGTGTTGACTCGTAAGTCTTTTGTGAATGCTTATCACACCAAAACATAAATGTATGAGAGTATACACTGTCACTCAGAAAATCTCAACATAAAGTAGGAAAGCGCTCCCCAACATTACATATACGAGCATAACCCAAAACTAAAACAAGGAAACCAAAATGATTAGCTCGATGAGCTAGCTTCTACTCACAGTAACGTTTCTACTCTTGAGTATCTTCACAATGACTATGTAAAGGCAACATTCAAACAAAAGAGGTGAGAATTCATTTCAATAATAATAGTATAGAATGTATGATAGAGTACAACATCTACACAATTATGCACAAATATATTACACATTCTCACGCCCAAATCATCATCAATAACATAATCATCACACATAGTAATATTCTACACAATCTTAATCATATTATATCAATTACATTCACACACCCAACTCACTAAATCAATCACGACTCAACATTTATATCTCAACAAACATACATATGACTCGTTATGCAATGCAATTCACCTATGCAACTCTATGCATATGCATGTGGAACCAACTCAACATATGATTCTTCATAGGAACCGGGTCCACCCTTCTAGATTTGTGAACCCACTATTCTAGGTTTACGACAAGTTACCAGTCCGTCCTTCTAGACTTTCACTCGCCTCTTTCACACCAATGACACAAATGATGCATGACATATAATTAATACAACAACTCACCAACAACTACAATTCATGTTTACATTCCCCCTTCAAAATATAAATAACAACAATTATGCATTTCCACATAATTATCCACAAGCATCAATAATATGCAAAAATACATCCACCAACATGTTTTATCAACAAAACATAATGTTCACAACTTAATAATCATGTTCACGCCACATCAACATCAGAGCAGCACCACCAACACCTTAACAATATTATCATAACATCATCAACATATCAACATTATTATCACATGACATTATTACAACAATGCATTGATTTATCAACCGACCATATAAACCAATAACTTTATCAACATAGTAGGCATATGAATAATATTTAAACATTTCACCTATCATTATTATGTTTTACCTCTGAGTGTTAACTTCCCAATACTTCAAACGACACGTCGTTTAGATACACGGTTACAAAGTTATGAGGTAAAACGTCAAAGCATGTCATAGTTCTAGAACATAATTATTTTTCAAAATTGTTACAACGACAATCGATTATCATAAATAACAACTGATTGTCATTGAGGCCATACCCAAAAATAAATGTGTTTTAAAAGCATGACAAGCGATTGCTTTTCTACGCAACCAATTGTGACTGTGTAATTTTCCAAAAAAAACTCAGTTTTAATATATGTACCCAGAATCACATAAGCCTAATTTCTTCTCAAACACTTCTTAACATCAAAACAACTTAATTTGAGTTTCCAACACATTAAACAAATTTACCACTATAAACTTATCACATACTCAACAATTTTTCATCAAATCAAACAATTTATCAAATATAATCATGGATCTATATACTATATCAATTCTTAAAACCTTCAAACATCATCAATGGTGGAAATACATGAACACATCAAAACAGAATTTTATTCACATTGACACATGAAAATCAACAATCAAAAACCCATGAAATCATATAGAATCATCAAATTCCATATTCTTCCTCTACCCTTCATTATACCCCTATTATTGAACTAAATTTCCACCCTTACCTTAATTTTTAGCATAAAATTTTGATTTTGTTGATACGTTCTTTCCTTCTAAAGCTTCAAGTCTCAACTCTTGCCTAACCTCCTTCTCCTCTTTTCCCAAGTTTTTATGTACAATGAAAAACTGATTCTCTTCCTATTTCTCTTTTTTTATAATAAATCTATTTTCTCCTAATTAAGTTTTACCTGTTCTACCCTCAACTTATTCTTGTAATTACCAATTTGCCCTTAATTTCTCAACACATCTATATTATTTTATTTAAATAATATAACCAAATTATTGTTTTAAATTAATACAAAAAATAATTCTAATGTTCTCTCTTCCTCCAATTACTCTCCACACCCTACCATAAGATCACACACACTCTTCCTCTCACCCACATTTATTTAATTATCACACATAGTAAATCAAATAAATACATAAAATTATAATAAATCAAAATAAATTAAATAAAATAAATTACTAAAATTGGGATGTTAGAACTCTCCCCCATCTAAAGAATTTTCGTCCTCGAAAATCACCTCAAGTGAACAGATTCATATACGAATCCCTCATCTAGCTCTCAAGCTCTCAAGTTATGTTTCCACCAACTAGTCCTCCCCAAGCTACCTTCACTAAGGTAATATCTTTACCACGCAACTGCTTTACTTCCATATCCTCTATCTGCATGGGTGATGTCTTAACAGTCAGGTTATCTCTCACTTGTACATCATCCACTTGGATAACATGAGACAAATCTGGAATGTATCTTCCTAACTGAGATACATGAAACACATCATGAAGATTAGCAAGTGATGGTGACTAGCAATCTGATTGGTCACTTCTTATAACTTCTACATAATCTGGTACGAACTGATGAAATATGGAGTGAGCTTTCGAGACTCCAAAGCTCGACCAACATCAGTTACCAGAGTAACTCTAAAAAACACATGGTCTCCCTCTCGAAACTCAAGTGTTTTTCTTTGTTTATTATGATAACTCTTTTGGCAACTCTGAGGATATATCATCTTTTCCTGAATCACTTTGATCTTCTCTATGGTCTATTAGATAATTCATACACAATCACATCGTCCTCTCTTGACTCATACCAATATAAAGGTGTTCTACACCTTGTACCATACAACATCTCAAACAACAACATTCCAATACTCAAATGAAAATTATTGTTGTAGGTAAACTTAATCAATCGTAGAAAGTTATCCAAAGCACCTCCTTGTTCTAACATTCAAGCTCTCAACAAGTCTTTTAAAGATTGGATAATCCTGTGTCTGACCATTTGTCTGTGGATGATAAGCAGAACTCAAACGTAACTTCGTACCTAAAGCCTCCTACAAACTCTCCTAGAATCTCGACGTAAACCTCAGATCTCTATCAGACACAATACTGGATGAAATCCCATACAAACTGACAATCCTCTCGATATACAACTGCTGACTTTTCTAACAGATGATTAAGTTGAATCATAATGAAATGAGCTGACCTAGTCAACATATCCACAATAACCCAAATAGTATCACAACCCTTCATTGTCATTGGCAATCCATTGTCGCACTCGTAATGCGAAAATGTAGCGGTAAAAATTTGAGACTAAGTCATTAATTGACTTAACTCAATATCAATGAAAGTCGCCACCACACTTTATTGTTTCTAAAGAAAAAATGGGAAAAGAGCGAATAAAATCTAAAATAAAATAAAAGATCAGAGATCAAGGTACAGAGGTTGACATCCACTGTTTGTTTTAATCAAAGAGTGTGCTATCCAAAGGATTATTTGCTAAAGGAAATGAATGAAAGAGTATTTACAAACAAAAGAAATATTTTTTATTATTGCGCCTGTGTCGGTTGCGAACATTTGTGCGACATACCCCCTTCGTGCAATAAGGGCTCAGGACACTCGTAGTTCTTCTAGAAAAGACTTGTTTGTTGGTTGATTTTAAATGAAGAGACAAGTTCCCATTTTTGAGAGAGAAATCTCAACTAATCGCCCACAAGGTGTGAGAAAGATAGACTGTACGTCAATATTATGAGGGTTTAGAAATACATTTTGCACTCAAGTGGAAAAATCGATATCTTTATAACCATGAGAGTAAGAGGATGATATCTCAACTATAAATGAATCATGTCTAATCTTGGGAAAAAAATTTAAAAGATAAAAAGTGCTCGAGCGCACAAAAAGATTTGAATGAGGTTAAATGTTTTTTAGTCTTTTTGAAAATGTTAAAATATGCTTATGTTGTTTAATATTTATTAAAAAAAGAAGTTTGAAAAAGGCACTTGACAAAGTCAAGGTTTATTATGAAAGTGGTTAAAGTTAGAAAACAAAGAAGGTTTTGAAAAAAAGATGATAAAATTTTGAAAATTGAAGAACAGAGTAAGAGATCAAAGAAATCCAAAGCGTCAGATAAAACATAAAGCATCAGATAAAGCGCATCAAGTGAAAATAAATCACAAGTCAGGACACTGCACTAAGTAAACTCAAAAAGTCAAGAGGTATCAGAGCAATAAGTCCAAAGAATCAAGTGAACCAAAGAAACGCAAGTCAGACAGTCATAAACGCACTTCAAAAATCAAGTCAAAATAGTCACAAGTATATGAGTGAAACATGGATTAATCATACAACTGATTAATTAAGAATTGAGTGAGTTAATTAACTGAATTAAGAAAATCAATTAGTGAGACTAATCTATTTTAATTAATAAGAAATCGATTAACTAAAGCAATATTTAATTAATTAATTAAAAGTTAAATCGTGTGTACCCGATAAAATCAGATAATGACTACTAAATAAAAAAATGAAATGAAAGTTCAATCGATTAATCAAGAGTTGATTAACTTAATTAACCGAGTTAAGAAAAATGAATTAGTAAACTAATCCATTTTTAATAGCAAGATCAAGTAAATAAATTAAATCTTGATTAATCAATCAAAAGAGAATAGAAGATGTGAAGCGGAAGCGACTACTTGATCCATCTTGAGAACTTGCACAAACCAACAAACAAGTCTGTAACACAAGAATTATAAACCAAATGAAACTTACATGAATGGCATGAACAAATAAACATTTGTCAATCAAGAACCAAGAAAACAAGTGTTTATTCAAGGTAAATAGCAAAAATCGGCATTGTATTCATCGCTCCAAACATATTCAAAGTCAAGTAAACTCAAAAGTCATCACGATTTTCAAACCACAAATGAAACAAGAAGCGAGAATTCACATTATTACTCACTTGGACATGAAAAATCAGCATTGCATACATTGTTTCAAGCACCTTCAATTAAGTAAACTCAAGAACAATCATGATTTTCAAAACACAAATGAAACAAGAACCAAAGATTCACGTTGCAACATGAAAAATCAAATTCAAAGTAAGCTTTAAATCCTTAAATCAAATCCGAGCAGCAACTATGCATATGAAACAAGGCTCGAAAAACTCAATCACAAACCTATTTAGCACAAAAGGAAACAACAAAGCAATGCCAACCGAAATATCTTTCGAAATAAAAACCAATTGTTCAACAAAAGTCATCCAAGTCTCCTTCCTATCGAATCAAACAAAATTATGCAACATTAAATTGAAACTCAACAACTAAATCATTCCGGGCAGCCACAAACCAACCTATTAACCTATTAACGCTCAACATTCGTTTCAAATGTATTCAAACAACGCAAGGAAACAACCACAAGGCCAAAACCGAATTTATCTTCCGCATTCAAAACAAATTGCACAAAAAAATCATTCGAATCTCCTCCAAGTTGAATCAACCGACATGGCATAACCATAAAACTTCGTTCAACATTAGTCACCACAAACTCAACAACAATATCAGAAAACAATCACCCCCATATCGACAAACCACAACTTCTTCATCATGTTGAAATAAAAAAGAAGTCACAATTCAAAACCAACACACAATAACTTAATGATATCAAGACATTGCTCAAAATTGAGTTCAAACAAATCGACACCAATAAACAACAATTATATTATTCTCATCAATCAATTAAAACACAAACAATCTCCACAAGGTTAACACAACCTCATTCACAATAACACCACGATATGATAATGATATCCACATTAGAATAGAATACAATCTTGACATAAAAAACTCCGATATCCAAACCAAAATCAACAACACAGTAACTTCATCACAAAAGAAGAAATAAGCAACTGTTGGTAAAGTAAAAATAGAAGAATACCAATTGCTGCTGAAGCTGGGGAGTATGTATGCGTGAGATGTGAGCTGGGTTTTGAACACAGAAGCGGAGAAGGGTGTTTGGCAAGAGATATCGCGAGCGGAAGTTGAAAGGATAGAAGGCGGTGACTGTGTTCGGTTGTGACACAGAGGAAGGAGTATTGGAATTTGAGGTGGTAGGTAATGAAAGGTTTGTTGTTACGAGGTTGTACGATTTGTGTAACAGAGAAGAGAAGGAAGGGTTTCAATGGAGTCGATGATGAATAGGGCGATTTGATAACAGAGAGAGCTTACTGAATTCGCGAACATGAAGAGGAACGATTGGTGCCTCTTTTCTTTTTATATCCGCCTCTCCTTCTTCTTCTATCATATCCACCCTTTACTCTTATAACCATAAAAAAAAAAACCTTATCCTCTCTAATTAGGTCTCGTAAAAAGACCACCAAAACCCTCTCTGTAGTTATTTTGTGATAATTAAAAAAAAAATTAAATATATAATAAATTGAACAATTTTTTTTAATAATTTTTTAAATAATAAACGATGTAAATGCGCGTAAAATATAACGATGCAAATGAAAATTAAATTTTATGATTTTTGGATATAAACAAATGCGAATGAGAAAATTCGGGGTAAAATTTGGGGTACAATATCCATACACAAAGTTCATCAAAATGATGTCTCATTTTCACTCAGGAATAAACAGCGGTTGCATCAAACCTGGTGGCTTCTGATGCTCAACTTTTAACTTCTGACAAGTCAAATAGGTATACACGAATTCAACAACCTCCTTTTTTCATTCCAGGCCACCAAAAGATCTTACTCAAGTCTTGATACATTTTAGTAGCACCGGGATGAATACTCATACCATTTCAGTGTCCTTCTTCAAGGATACTCTTCTTGAGTGCATACACATCAGAAACACAGACTCTATCTCTAAATCTGATCACACCATTCTCGTCAATTCTGAATTCACCACCTTGACCTTGATTGATTAAAGTTAATTGATCCACCAATTTCAAATCAGTCCTCTAACCTTCTCTAATCTCTTCCAGAACACCACTCATAAGCTTCAACCGTACCCAGTTTTACACTCTACGGCGTAACTTCACAGACCAAACTCAGATCTCTGAATTCTTTAAACAAATCCATCTCTCTCGCCATCTAGGTCGATATATGCAATGTCTTTTGACTCAAGACGTCATCTACAACATTGGCTTTACCATGATGGTAATTCAAACCAAAATCATTATCCTTCAACAACTTAAGCCACCTCCTTTGTCTCATATCCAATTCATTTTGATCGAACATGTACTTAAAACTTTTATAATCACTGAACACTTCAAATATATAACCAAACAGACAATGTCTCCTAAATTTTAAGTGCAAACACAACGTCAACCAACTCTAAGTCATGTGTAGGATAATTCTTTTCATGAACTCTAAGTTGTCTCGAAGCATAAGCCATAACTTGTCCATTATGCATCAACACACTACCCAAACACATCTTAGAAGCATCATAATACACGACAAAAGATTCAATTGGACTTGACATAATCAACACAGAAGCCGACGTAAACCTCTTCTTAAGCTCTAGGAAACTCTCTTCACATTTAACATCCCACACATACGCATGACCTTTCCTATTTAGCTAAGTTAACGGCAATTCCAACTTAGAAATCCCTCGATGAACTTTCAATAATAACCAGCTAATCTAAGAAAGCTTAGAATATCTGTGACAGACTTCAGAGTCTCCCACTACAACACAACCTCGACCTTCAAAGGATTAACAACAATACCTCTATTAGAAATCAGATGACCGAGGAAACTCACTTCTCTTAACCAAAAACTCACTTGGACAACTTAGCATACAATTGCTTTTGTTTCAACAGTTCCAATATAGTTCTCAGATGTTCGGCATGCTCTTCATCATTCTTTGAATAAATCACAATATCATCAATAAACACTACTAAAAACTTATCCAAATATGGATGAAAGACTCTTTTCATATACATAATGAACACGCCATGAGCATTAGGCACACCAAATGACATCATCAAATATTCATAATGACCATACCTCGTTTTGAATAATCTTTGGAATATCTACAACCTTCACACAAATCTGATGATATCCCGACCTCAAATCATTATTTATAAAGACACAAGCCCCTTTTAATTAACCCATCAAATCATCAATCCTCGGAAGTGGTTACTTGTTCTTGATAGTGACTTTATTCAGTTGTTAGTAATCAACACACATACACATACTACTTTTCTTCTTCATCACCAACAACACCAGTGCACCCCACTGTGAGACACTATACCGAATAAACTTCTTCTCGAGTAAATCTTCTAGTTACTTCTTCAATTCACTTAGCTTTGCAGTAGACATCTTTAAATTCTGGTATGACATAACTCAAATGTATTATGACATGTTGGGACATTTGATCCCATATAAACAAATAGGAAAGATATAAATAATAAAAAACGGTACTAAAAAGCATTAACAACACACCATAACTGTTAACCCAGTTCAAAACAACTCTCCTACTCTGGGGGTATACCAAGCTAGGGATAAATCCACTATGATAGTATCGATTCATAGACCCTACAACAAACCTCCAATTTACAACCTAATCACTTAATCACTACCCTTCCTAGATTTCTATCTAAGACTCACCTAGATATGAGGCTCTCCTCAATCCCTCTTCAATCACAGACAACGATTAGATCAACACAATTCTGAATAAATAGGAAGATACAATTCCATGATAATCACTAGCCAAGACTCTTGACTAAGACCAAAACTTGGAGTTGCTTCAAATATTCCTCCAAGAACAATACTTAACTCATTACGTCACAACTTCTGAGTGAGAACAACAGTGACCATCTCACAGCCCGAGTGGTTCACTTACACAAACTTTCCTAGAGAGCGGAAAAAAGACAAAGCCATATATTTCTACATCTTGAACATGTGCCTTTCTAGGTTACAAACACTTCTATTTATAATCTATACACAACTGGATTTGGGCCTTCAAAGTACAACATATCAGTTGTAACAAACAACAATAACTTCTACTACAAACAAGGTCTTCAATCAAATCTTCCTAAATTATCTCCAAATTTAGAAACTGTATATTCTTCAATATTCTGATTGATTCTTCTTGACCTTTAAATCAGTGTCCTATAATGTTATATAATATTTTCCAAAATATTATGCATCAGTTAAATCATAACAGAATCTAACTGTCCACTTTAGCTCAGGCACGACGTCGTATGCTCCTTCGTAGGACATTTTATCTGACACGTTGTTTCAGATGTTGAGACTCTTCAACTCAACATGTCCTAACAGAAGATATGACTTCTTACTTAACATGTTCCTGTTAGCAAGTTAATACATCCTATCTAACATATTACTGTATTATTTGTTTTACAAAAATTAATGCCAATCCTTAAAACTAGAGAACTTACAATCTCCCCCTTTGGCAAATTTTGGCTAAAACAAATAAATAAAAATACAACCAAATTACAGTAATAAACAAACAAAAAAAATACACCAACATTAGTCCTCAGAAACTACTGATCAAAACAACACAACAACATGGAGTCAATCTTCAGTAAAGATGTTGGGATATCTTTGTTTGACATATTCCTTCAAGCAATTTGAATGAGCTCTATTGTAGTACCAACTCCAACACCAAAGAACAACACCTTCAAGAAAAGGAGTAGAGAGTCTTGAAGTATGTTGGTGTACATGAGGAAGAAGATAACATATTATTCCCCCTCAAACCAGGATATCTTGAAAGACCAATGATGGCATAAGAAAGACCAATGGTGGAATAAGATAATCCTTCTTATTTGATGATCAACGACCACCAGTAGACCTAGACAAATCAACCATCATCCTTGGTAACTCAAAATACAGGTCACAACTGTGTTCATAACTTAGATTACAAGTCACAAACTCAAACAAACATAGGATATAACATCACATGCGACATGTTTATGTGACTTCTGAAAAAGAAACTCTGGATAGAATATCTGAGCAACCTTTAAACTTTCTCTCCCCCTTTTTCACCAAAAATTAACAAATAAGCCCTTCACAAAACCCTATCCAAGCACAGCTCACCCAAACCCGAACAAAAGCCATAAGAATTATGGACTCAACTACTCATCGGGTAAAAGAGGAAAGGTGAATCCTCTATAAATAACTTGGACATTATTTAGAAAATAATGATCCTTGAGTGTAGAAATAATTCTGGTTAAAAGGAAACTCTATTTGAGAAAAAACTTCCACTAAAATCAATATGCACCGTTCAAAAACAACATTGAATGTCCTAATAGCCCTGGATTGTTTCTTCTGAGTAAATCAAGTCTCAATAAATGCACATTCTTAGTCAAACACGCTTACTGATTCGTGTTTTATCAAACTAACCACCATAACACCTTTGTTGATCATGCAGGAAACACGTCCTGAATAATGTCCTGACATTCAGTCAGACATTGTCTTCTTTTTCTTTCACATTGACCAACACATCTTCAAACACGTTGTTTTCTACTGGATTCTAAGTGTTCTCCTTTCACTTAGACTCAGTGATACTCACAAAGATATCAAAACACCACATTTGTGACATCTCTCAATAAAAAAAGACCCGAAGAGTCCTTTTAATATCTATAGAAAAAAAATAAATTCTCCCAGACATAACCATTAATCATCAGAGAGATATGTGAACTTCTGATCCACCAGCTTCACATGGTTAAGACCAACCATGCCTTGTCAAGATCACCAATAATTTCATAATGTCGCAACATGTTGTCTGACATCATACTCTTATAAAAGATCTCCACAAGCTTGAACAACACACAACCAATTTTTGTACCATTGCAGCAATAATCCACAGACAAATACATGACTCCCTCTGTCATGAATAAACAATTCTCCAGTTGAAGATGAAAACTTGAGCCCCTGGTGAAAACACACGAAAAACATCATGCTTTCATGATGAAGACCAACACTTCTACATACTAGTTGAACACCAACTCCCTTAGTAGAGTTGATCCTGAGTCAAATACTCTCACTCCTTGAGAATATATCCAAGCTTTCTGACTCCTTGCATATCCATACATTGTATCATGACCTTTTGAATAAGAAAGATGTCATGCATACTGGGTGGGAAGTCACTCACGAACTCCAAACACTCTTAGTTTACTTAAAAGCTTTACTAAGATCCACACCTTTTCTAGAGTGACTTGCAACAGAAGAAAAAACACCTCCTCAAAACACTATGCACAGACCTTAATATCTGTTAGCAGTCTTCTGCCCTTATATCCACTAGTAGTTGTTGATACTAGTGGAGTCTTCAACAAAGT